TCAAGCGGAAAATCACTCATCTTCACAATACCTGAAACCCCACCGCTACGAGATCCAAACCATCTACAGTCAACAAAATGAATACTATAACTTCACTAAATGTTCGAGGTCTCAACTCCCCTTTCAAAAGGTCATTGCTCTCGAAAGAAGTCCGCTCCATACAACCTGACATCCTGTTCCTACAGGAGACCCACTTTGTCTCATCCAAAATTCCTAAACTCAACATTCTCCACCTCTCCACAGTATATATGGTAACAAACCCTAAAAAGAAAAATGGCGTCATTACAGCCATAGGAGACTCCCTGCAGTTCCAATTCATTTCAGAAACAGCAGACCCACAAGGCACTATCACGTATGGATTTGCAAAATCAACGATACTCCTTACACATTGGTGAACGTGTATGGTCCTAATACCAATCAACTCTAATTCTTCAACAAACTTAACTCCATCATAACTCAACACAGAAAAGGCAGATTACTCATCGGTGGGGAACATTATCTGTAATCCTCTTCTGGACTCATCTAATAAAAGATCTTCAAAACAGTCCTTCAGCCAATTCCTTCATTCCAACGATCTTTATGACATCTGGAGATGCCAACACAGTACAGAAAAGGACTATACCTACTACTCTCCACACCCTATTTATCCTATTCCAGAATCGGCTTCTTCATCACCGAGAAATGGACTCTACAACACGTTACCTCCTCCAAGATTGGTACCATAAAATGGTCAGACCATGCTCCAATCACTATCTCCCTTGACAGCAAGCAACATTTGTCGATACCTCGAATATGGCGATTGAACACGACCTTGTTGAAAAACCAAGACTGCAAGCAACAAATACTAGATGCACACAAGACATTTTTTGAACTTAATGATACACCGGATATATCCATACCTATTCTATGGTCAACCTATAAAGCATACATGAGAGGTATTTTGATACAACTAAGCGCCCACATCACCAAAAATAGAACCCAACAAATAGATAAATTCCTCGCCTCAATCAAAACAAACTAAGAAAAAAAACAAAAAAAAATCCCAAGACCCAGCAATCTCTTCATCCCTTACAGCAAATAGAAACAAATTAAGATCCTTCCTACTTTACAAATATGATCTAAATCTCCAAAAAATGAAAGCAAAATTCTACTCACTAGGTAATAAAGCCAGCTCGTTATCCAAAACGGTAAAACAAAAAACGGCTGAAATCCAAAATAGCTTTAATTAAACACCCATCGCCGAATACCCTAAACACAAACCTTCAAGATATAGCTAACGCCTTTGCAGAATATTACCAAAACCTATACAACCTCAAAAATGACCCAGACATCATCCAACCAACAATCGCTTCCATGGAAAAATTTCTCCCCACGACCAACCTCCCTCAACTATCCTCAGACCAACTTGACACCATCTCTATCCCAATTTCCTCCAAGGAAATAGAAACGACCATTAAAACACTCCCACTCAACAAATCCCCAGGAAATGATGGATACACTAACGAATACTATAAACACCTTTCCACAGACCTATCACCATACCTGACCAAACTCTTCAACCATGCTGCCACCACAGGCTCATTTCCTAAAGACATGTTGCAATCCATCATAACGACTATACCAAAACCTGGCAAAGACCCCTCAACTTGTCCAAAACCACAGGCCAATCTCGTTGCTTAATACCGATATAAAACTGTATGCGAAAATCATATCCCGAAGAATTCTCCCATACCTCCCCACCCTAATCCACCCAGACACCAAGTAGGTTTCATTCCAGGTCACCAAGCACCCAATGCTACCAGAAGAATTATTTCCCTCCTACACAACTTAGAAAACACCAAGAGCCCCTCCTTATTCATATCTCTGGACGCAGAGAAAGCATTCGACAGGATACATTGGCAATTCATGCAACTCACTTTTCAAAAATAAGGTATCACAGGTTGGATGCTGAATGCCATCTTACCACTATATTTGCATCCATCCGCCAGAGTGTTGACAGATGGCACACTATCTGACCCCTTTGACATCTCCAACGGCACCAGACAAGGCTGTCCACTCTCCCCAATAATATTTACACTACTTATTGAACCCCTAGCATCCAAACTCAGGGAGGGCCGGTCATTTACAGGAATCACACACCTCAACGTGGAACACAAAGTTAGCCTATTTGCGGACAATGTTAAATTAATGGTGACCAACCCAAAAACGTCCTTTAAAACAATTCGCTCACACCTCTATTCCTGCTCAACTGTCTCATATTACAAGCTTAACGAACCCAAATCTTCCATACTAAACCTTCACATCCCACCCCAACTCCAAACTCTACTAGCTAAACAATTCCCATTCTCATGGGAAACGAACAACATTCCTTACGTATGAGTCAGACTCACGCCGATGACAGATCAACTATACACCACAAACCATAAAATATTACTTGAAACTATTCCATGAGAACTAACCACACTCCACACCTCAGAACTCTCCAAACTAGGCTGAGTGGCAACCCTGAAAATGTACATTCTACCCAAAATCTTATACATATTCCGCACACTCCTAATACCAATCCCTAACTCATTCTTTTCTAGTCTACAAACAATCCTCACAGAGTTCCTATGGAACTCGAAAAAGCCCAGATGTACCACCAATCTCTTAATACGCCCTACAGCTAAAGGAGGAGCAGATCTCCCACACCTCAAGTCTTCCTACACCTCTACTCTTTTAGACCAAATATACTTTTGGTGGAACCCATCAAAAGAAATAATTTGGTCCACAATGGAAACCCTTCCTTTTCACCCACTTAAACCCCAAAATATAATCCTAACTCCACCAACCAACCGAATAGAACTCCAACTAAAACATCCCTGCATTCAAGCCTCCCTACAAGCTTGGCGTGACCTCCTATCCACTAAATTTAAGGACATCAAACATATCCCTAATCCAACCAATATACTACACCTTCTTATTCCCTCGCTAGACCTCATCTCATTGGACAAAACAAGGTATAACTAATATAACACCTCTACACCAACCAATCTATTTGCCCCTTCCAAATTCACCAAACCAAATCTAATCTCCCTACTACTGAAAACTTCACATACCTAATAATTGCTCACTGTCTACAAACAACAATCTTGCCCCACACCACTAAGATACCAATTACAGCCTACCTTCTCTTCACCAAACCTCAATACCCAGGTAAAGGCATCTCCACTTTCTACACATACCTCACAAACTTACAATTTACACTACAAACAACTTCCCTAACCAACTGGGAAAAAATCCTATCCAAACAAATAACTTTACAATGCTGGGAAATTGCCTTCAACATTACCTATAAAGCTACCCGATGCAGCTCCCACTGGGAGTCATATCTAACAATACTCCACCAATGGTGCCTGACCCTGGTCAAACTTTCCCTCTACTACCTGAAACAGGCTCAACACTACGTATTCTTTGGTCATGTAAGTCACTTAGATCCTTCTGGAATACTACCTTCCAATTAATATCTGACATAAACAAAATTTTGATAACCCCGAATCCCTCATTAGCACTCCTACATATCGGGATCGAGAAGTTCCCTCCTCACTCCCGAACAATTAATACCCACACACTTTTCGCCTCCAAAATAAACATTACCAGATTATGGAACACAAATAATACCCCCTCAGTTACCTCACTAATTACAGACCTCAACACCCAATGTGAAATGGAGAGAATATCCGCAATCAACACTTCTTCTCACCATAAATTTAATCAGCAATGGACCCGATAGCTAAATCACCCAAAATGTTCTGTACAACCCTGATGACCTTTAAACAGTAAAAATTACCTCCTAAACCGAGACTGGTATATCTTCATTCACCCAGTTATATCTTTCCTCACCTCCCCCATCTCCCCCGCCAATACCCCCCTAGCATCCCAAACGCCTCACCAAGGTTCATCATACACATATGAATACCTCTGATGTTATTGCTCAACAAGACCAATGCCACCACTGTGCAATGAGTGGAATAACCACAAAAATGCTCAACTGTATAACGTTTATTGCAATACTGTATGAATGAACCCTATCTCATTTCCTTGTTTGTCTGTGAAAAATTTAATAAAAATATTGAAACATAAAAGCCTAAAGGTGCTTATTGGATTTTGGGGTCCTGTACTTGACTAGACTGCCAAAACGTCTCTCACATTTGGTAGCCCCATACTCGGGAGAAGTAGCAGAATGTATTTTAGAGAGTAATTCCACACATACCCATGGCATGTGTGAGCAGTAAATCATTTAACCACTTCCAGAACGGACACTTTTACCCCCTTCCTGACCAGGGCAATTTTCAGCTTTTAGCGCTATCACACTTTGAATGACAATTGCGCGGTCATGCAACACTGTACCCAAATGAATTTTTTACCATTTTTTTTAGATAGATAAAGCTTTATTTTGGTGGTATTTATTTACCACTGGGATTTGTATTTTTTTTGCTATGTAAATGAAATGTCCAAAACTTTTGAAAAAAAGTGTTTTTTTTATAAAATTTTGCAAATAAATAATATTTCATCATAAATCTTAGCCAAAATTTATTCCGTTATCTTTTTAGTAAAAAATAAAAAAAATCCAAATTAGTTTATAAGCAAAATTATAATTTTTAACATTTTTTTTACATTTTTATTTTATTTTTTTATATTATTATTTTTTTTTTTTTTTTTTTTTTTTTTACATACTGTCACCCTAGCAGTACAGTGTCACCATGGTGACACTGTACTACTTGTGAGGGGTGATGAAGATTTTTTTTTTTTTTTTTTACACTGATTGCTTTTACACCCATATAGGATGTAAAAGCAATCCTTTCTCTTTCTCTCAGTGTGCATTTATGCACTCATTGAGAAGAACTGAGTGAGCTGTGATTGGTCACAGCTTGTCACATGGTACAAGGCTTTTGTGAATAGCCTTGTACCATGTGACCTCTGATCATTCACAGATTTCACACATAGTAAGCAATGATGTCAGAAGTGACATCTTGCTTACTACTTTGCATGTGATCACTGATTGGCCAATCAGTGATCACATGATCGGGACCTCGTACAGAGGTCCCGTCCGACGATCGATGTTTCACTGTGTCCGGAGGACACAGCAGGCATCGGATCGCGGTGCTGCACGCTCCCAGGGAGCGCGCACAAGCAGGGTGCGGGGAGGCCGTTTATAGACGGCCACCCCACCCTGCAGTGCCATCGTCCGGCCGTTTATATACAATGGCCATACAGGAGGTGGTTAAGAACTAAGACATTGAGGTCTTCCATAATGTGGTCTGGTTGTGAAAAGTGATGTCCTACAGGTGTGCAGAACTTATCTTCTTTATGTTCCTTGATGGTGTGTCTGTGCAAAGTCATCTGTGTTTATATACAACGGCCGGTCGGGAAGTGGTTAAGTGAACATTTTGTGTAAAAAAAAAAAAAAAAAAAAAAAAAAAAAAAATTATTTTCCAAAAAACTTGTGGTAAAAAAATAAATTCTTCTTTTGATTCAACATGCCTCTCATAAAACAGTTTGGGGTGTCTACTTTCCAAAAAGGGGTCGTTTTGGAGGGTGGGGGCGGTTTATGTCCAGCATTAAAAGTTTATGCCACACATCATTCACTCTTGTAACTACCTGAAGATCAAGCCTTTTCTGACACTTTTTGTTCACATAAAAAAAATCTGTATTTTTTGCTAGGAAATTAATTTAAACCCCCAAAACATTATATATATTTTTTTAAAGCAGACACCCTAGTGAATAAAATGGTGGGTACTAAAATATTTCATTACACATAGTACTTGCGCAGCGATTTTTCAAAAGCAAATTTTTTAAAAAATACACTTTTTTTACTTTTAATGCACAAAAACACAATATATTGGCCAATTATTTGGTAAAATATAAAAGATGATGGTATGCCGAGTAAACATGACATGCTTTAAAACTGCGCATTCCCCGTGCAATGACGACAAATTGCATAAATTCTTAATATCCATAGGCAACACTTTAAAAGCTACCATTTTAGATTTACAGAGGAGGTCTAGTGTTAGAATTACTGCCCTTGATCTGGCGTTCACGGCGATACCTCACGCGCATGGTGCAACCGCTGTTTACATACTGGCACAGGGCCAACGCTTGTGCACACAGGTTTTGCGTGCATAGAAGGGGCGAGATTTTATTATTTAAGTTATTTTGATCTTTTTTATTTTTACACTGTACCTTCAATGGGCATTGCTTTTTAAGAAATCTGTGGTCTATCAGACTCTGGATATCTCCTCTGCCCTTACATTATCTAATTAAACCAAAATCGGTGTCATCAGATGCTTTCCCAATTTACAAATGGCGCTGTTTTATATCCTGCAAAACTGAAGTGCTGAAATGCTGGCAGCTTCTGAATTCTTAGACTATAGAGATGATTGGCACCACTCTGGTCTCCAATGAGCTCTATGGTCAGCTGGCAGAAACACAGTCTGCATTCTCAGGTTCCCCCGATGGCACGGAACTGCCCTGGAAGGCAGCGGGGGCATCATCTCATGTAAAAGCAATTCTGTAGCTAATTAGCCACTAGGATTGCTTTTACATGAAAGCCGATCGCCGGCTGAAAAAAAATGATACCAGGATGATGCCTGCAGCTGTAGGCATCATCCTGGTATAACCATTCAGCGTCCAGTGATGTACCAGTACATCGCTGATCCTTGTTAGTTATATATACTATCTTCTTTTTTTTTTTTTTTTTTGTATGCAGCCTGTGGGCTGAATGAAAAAAAAAATCTCTGCCAGAAAAAGTGCGTGGTATGCCCACCATTAAAATATACCTTCCTGCATCCACCCACTTCTAATGGTGGGCACACATTAGGTCACACTTTGCCACTTGCGCCAGTTCCAAGATTGTACAAATGTCTAAATAGTGGCATGCTTGAATAAAAATTGGTATACCACGTATAAGTGGTACCCCATATGGAAAAAGGATGACACCAAGTCCCAAACTATCTTGCCACTGCTTCCCATGTAGTCTGGACATCCAGGGGGCTCCACGTGACTATCTTTTCCCTCGTAAAAACCGAAACTTATAAGTATAGCCTGTTGCCCTCTCACAGGTCTTTTACATCTTGACCCCATATCTGGCACTCTTGCTGGGGAGAATTTGTTTGAATGCAAGGCGGCCAGAAAAATTAATCAGGGACTCAATGCAGATATTTTGCTGGGGAGTATAGACATCTGCAAATTTTTGGTTAAGGTGATTCATAAGGGGCTGAATTTTGTGTAGCCAGTCAAATTCAGGGTCACCTCAAGGACAAAAGTGTATTGTTGTTGAAATGCAAGAAGCACATTATACTCTCATATCTATGCCTGGCCATGGCAGCAGAGCACACGGGCATATGATGAATCCGGTCTGTGCACCAATACAACCGCAATTCATTTTTTTTAGTAATGCCTATGTTGAGGGTTAGGCCCAAAATAAAAAGTAAATTCGAGAACCGTAATGAGTTTCCATGTGACTGGTCTGGCAAGGTTTAAATTTGGGTTGGCGGCAATAAATTGTTGTGCATATAAATTGCTTTGATCCACAATCAACGTATACAGATATTCCTTGAAAAACAGCTAAAAAAAAAAATCAAGGGGAGGAGTTATATTTTCTATTTCCACCTGAATTCTGGGCTGGGCAGTGAATGGGGGAAGTACGGGTGCTGCAGAATTTGTGGGCTGTCAATCGGGATTTGCAAGCACATCCAGAAGGATACTAGGGACTCTACAGGCCTGTATGCAAATTCTTGGTGGTTGCTGGACAATACTTGTGCTCGCCACCGCACTAGCTTGTACTGCACTTATGGGACTCGCCACGTCGCCAAGTCATACTGCAGTGCTGGTATTATTATTATACAGTATTTATATAGCGCCAGCAGTTTGCTCAGCTCTACAATATAACGGGAGACAATACAGAACAATACAGTTCAATACAAAAGGGTTAGGAGGGCCTGATCCTGGGAGCTTACAATCTGAGATATGTGAAAGACCAGAATGTACTAGGCCACTAGTAATCGCCAGTTCACCAAAAGGTAGCATGGCACTAGTACTGGCACTTTGCTGCACATGAGTCATCAAGATTTACTGACAAGTGCTAACAGAGATCAGGCCTGATTCTGACAACACTGCGGTTTTGTGTGCAATGTATCAAGTGACAGTGACCTACTGACACTGCACTTGCTGGGGGAGAAGGGGGGGGTAAGCGTTGGGGCTAAACGCAGGTGCTGGGGCTGATCCCACTAACGCTGTGTTTTTGGGGACACTATACTAATGTGAACACTGGTATAGTGCTGATCTGATCAAAGATATTGATCCATTCGGACACTATACTAGCAATGGAGGTTTATTGTGCATGTTCCGCGCAAACTGACGCTATCTGGGAGGAGCGAGAACACCGCGGGAGCGCGAATCACGTATATATATGTGATTTTTTTTTTTTTTTTTTGCACCCATGCCGCCCTGTAGCAGTATTTCTGCTATAGAGCGATCAGGAATCGATTAAAGAAGTGGTTTGTGTTACGTCGTTGCGTTACTTTGACAATTGCGCGGTCATGCAACAATGCACCCAAATTAAATTTACGTCCTTTTTTTTTCGTGCGAATTGAGCTTTCTTTCGGTGGTATTTGATCGCCTGTGCGTTTTATTTTTTGCGTTATAAAAAAAAGGCTGACAATTTTGAGGAAAAAAAATATTTTGGATTTTTTGCTATAAAACACGTCCAGTAAAAAAAATTTAAAATCATATTTCATCATAAATTCGTCAAAATGTATTTTGTGACATTTCTTTGCTAAAAAAAAAATCCCAATACATGTAAATTAATTGGTTTACAGCGTTTACAAATGGCGGTATAGATACTGGATTTTTAATTTTTGTTTTAAACTAATGGCGGCGATCAGCGACTTATGGTGGGACTGCGGCGGACATGCTGACCCTGGGGGGGGGGGGACTGACTTGGGGTCACTGACATCCCCAGTGACACCAATACAGTGATTAAATTAAAAAAAACAAAAAAAACAATGGCACTGGGGAGGAAGGGGTTACCTTTTTTTGGCAATCAAAGGGTTAACTGTGAAGGGAGTTTTTTTACTAGTGGGCAGGGGGTGTGTACTTCACTGTTGCACGCTGTCCCGGAAAGCTAAACTCTGCTCTCCGGGACAGTGAGCTGGGAACTGAAAACAATGCAGCTGTGCTCTGTGCCACGGTTTGCCGGCAATCTCCAATCGGTGATAGGGCGGTCGCACGCCTCCTTCCTGATATGCAAAATGACGTTTATAAACGTGATTTTGCACAGCGGTGCTGCCCTGTCGCAGTATATGTATTATGGCTGGTCGGCAACCGGTTAAGTAGCATGCTGGTGCTGACAGGGGAGAGATCTGTATTGTTTACATATAGACCCCTTTCCCTTATCAGTGTTCCTTGGCAATCGCCGTATGCTGGCGGGGAATTTCCATCCGGGATCCAGTGATAGACAGCTGTAGCCGCCAATGGCGGCGCCTTTGCCCCCTACCCAGAAAAACAGCCCTGCCGCCCTGTAGCAGTAGTTCTGTAAGGCTGTCGGGAAGCGGTTAAAGACCATCTCTGAGGGAAAAAGATAAATCTCATGTCTAAATTTAGGTCATTCTCTTTTGTTTCAAATAGAACTATCAGTCTTGGTTCAAAAGTTTTTTCCTTTACTGAATAGTTTTGAAATTCCCTTTAACCACTTCAAGTCCTGACACGTTTACCCCCTTACTGTCCAGGCCAATTTTCAGCTTTCTGTGCTATCACACTTTGAATGACAATTGTGCTGTCTTGCAACACTCTACCCATAGTAATTTGTTAGCATTTTTTTGAGACCGATAAAGCTTTATTTTGGTGGTATTTATTCACCACTAGGATTTTTATTTTTTTGCTATGTAAATGAAAAAGTCCATACATTTTGAAAAGAAGTGTTTTTCTTATAAAAATTTTGCAAATAAATATTTCATAATAAATCTTGGCCAAAATTTATTTAGTTATCTTTTTAGTGCAAAAAAAAAACTAAATTAGTTTATAACCAAAAATTATAATTTTTAAAAAAATTTTTTTACATTTTTATTTTATTTTTTTTTTTTTATTTGTTTTTTTTACATACTGTCACCCTAGCAGTACAGTGTCACCATGGTGACACTGTACTACTTGTGGGGGGTGATGAAGATTATTTTTTCTTACATTGATTGCTTTTACACCCATAATGGCTGGAAAAGCAATAATTTCTCCTTCTCTCTGGCTGCATTCTTGCAGCTATTGAGAACAACTGTGTGAGGTGTGATTGGTCACAGCTTGTCACATGGTACAAGGCTGTTGTGAATAGCCTTGTACCATGTGACCTCTGTGATAATTCACAGATTTCACACGTAAGCAATGATGTCCGAAGTGACATATTGGTTACTACTCTGCATGTGATCGGGCCCTTGCACAGAGGTCCCGTACGACGATCGGTGTTCCACTGTGTCCGGAGGACACAGCGGGCACCAGATCGCGGTGCTGCGTGCTCCCAGGGAGCGTGCACAAGCAGGGGGCTGGGAGGCCGTTTATAAACGGCCACCCAACCCTGCACTGCCACCGTCCGGCCGTTTATATACAATGGCCATACAGGAGGTGGTTAAGAACTAAGACATTGAGGTCTTCCATAATGTGGTCTGGTTGTGAAAAGTGATGTCCTACAGGTGTGCAGAACTTATCTTCTTTATGTTCCTTGATGGTGTGTCTGTGCAAAGTCATCTGTGTTTGCAACTTGCTCTGTTTCGCGAACATACAGTTGCAAGAAAAAGTATGTGAACCCCTTGGGATTACGTAGAGTTTTGCATTAATTGGGCATAAAATGTGCTCTGAACGTCATTTAAGTCACAACAATAGAAGAACACAGTCTGCTGAACATAATACTACACAAACATTAGATGTTGCCATGGTTTAATTGCACATAACATGTAAACATTCACAGTGCAGGGAGGAAAAAGTATGTGAGGCCCTAGCTTAATGACTTCTCCCAGAGCTAATTGGAGCCAGGAGTGAGCCAACCTTGACTTCAATCAGTGTGATGATATTGGATGTGTTGCTGACAGCTGTCATGCCCTTAAAAAACACACACCTGTTTTGGGTTTACTGGTTTCAAGAAGCATTGTCTGATGTGAACCATGCCTCGCAGAAAAGAGCTCTCAGAAGACCTACGATCAAGAATTGTTGACTTGCATGAAGCTGGAAAGGGTTACAAAAGTATCTCCAAAAGCCTTGATGTTCATGTGTCCACAGTAAGACAGACTGTCAACAAATGGAGAAAGTTTAGCTCTGTTGCTACTCTCCTTAGGCGTGGTCGTCCTGTAAAAATGACGTTCAGAGCACATTTTATGCCCAATTCATGCAAAACTCCACATAATCCCAAGGGGTTCACATACTTTTTCTTGCAACTGTAAGATCCTTTGCTACATCTTTTGCTTTGCATGAGGTACACAACACTACTGGAGTTGTACTTGTATTATCATGTGATATTGAAGGTCCCTTTTTGTGTGTGACACTTTTTTGATTGATTTTGTTGTACAGTTTGCATTTTTTTTTTTTTATTGCAGGGCTTGCTTCCATTATTTGTGACTTCATAATTAAAATTCAGTTTCCTGTGATTAGTTTGTCTGAGGGTGGGTGGTTGTCTGAAAGCAAGTATTGGGGGTTGTTGAAATATTTCTTTTAGAGTTTCATCCTCTGTTATGATGGGTTGTAAATTTTTGATTATCTTTCTTATCTCTTATTTGTTTTTTTCTCTTTGTATTGAAGTACATTTTCTCTTCAGGTTTTCAGGGCTGTGTTTATGCTGGCGTTTACATCTTTGTAACCCTTCTTATGGAAGGAGTCTGCTAGTGTCCTCAGATGTTTCTCTGTCTTCTGGGTCTGAACACATTCAGTGGTATCTGATAGACTTAGCTGTGTATGATGGCCTGTTTAGTGTGTTGGTGGTGAAAACTAAAACTATGGAGATAATTACATCTGTTAGTGTGTTTCCTGTCTATGGAAGTGTGAAGCTTGTCACCCATGTGTAAAAATGAATTAAATGAGCTGTGTAACATCCTCAGCAATGTACAGTGCCTTGAAAAAGTTTTCATACCCCTTGAAATGTTCCACTTTTTGTCATGTTACAACCAAAAATGTAAATTTATTTTATTGGGATATTATGTGCTAGACCAACACAAAGTTGCACATAAGTGTGAAGTGGAAAGAAAATGCTAAATGTTTTTCAACTTTTTTTTTTTACAAATGTGAAGTGTGGCGTGCATTTGTATTCAGCCTCCTTGTGTCAATGCTTTGTAGAATCACCTTTCACTGCAATTACAGCAGCAAGTCTTTTTGGGTATGTCTCTACCAGGTTTGCACATCTAGAGAGTGACATTTTTGCCCATTCTTCTTTGCAAAATAGCTCAAGCTCTGTCAGATTGGATGGCTAGCGTTCATGAACAGTAATTTTCAAGTCTTCCCGCAGATTCTCAATTGGATTTAGGTCTAGACTTTGACTGGGCGATTCGAACACATGAATATGCTTTGATCGAAACCATTCCATTGTAGCTCCGGCTGTATGTTTAGGGTCGTTGTCCTGCTGGAAGGTGACCCTCCGCCCCAGTCTCAAGTCTTTTGCAGACTAAGAGGTTTTCTTCTAAGATTGCCCTGTATTTGACTCCATCCATCTTCTCATCAACTGTGACCAGCTTCCCTGTCCCTGCTGAAGAAAAGCATCCCCACAAATTGATGCTGCCACCACCATGCTTTATGGGGATGGTGTGTTAAGGGTGATGTGCAGTGTTAGTTTTTTTTTGTCATACATAGGGTTTTGGTTTTAGGCCAAAATGTTTAATTATGGTCTCATCTAACCAGAGCACCTTCTTCCACATGTTTGCTTTGTACCCCACATGGCTTCTTGCAAACTGCAAACGGGACTTCTTATGGCTTTCTTTCAACAATGGCTTTATTCTTGCCACTCTTCTCTAAAGGGCAGATTTGTGGAGTGCTCAACTAATAGTTGTCCTGTGCACAGATATTCCCACCTGAGCTGTGGATCTTTGCAGCTCCTCCAGAGTTACCATGGGCCTCTTAGCTGCTCGGATTAATGCTCTCCTTGCCCAGCCTGTCAGTTTAGGTGGACAGCCATGTCTTGGTAGATTTGCAGTTGTCCCATACTCTTTCCAATTTCAGATGATGGATTGAACAGTGCTCCCTGAGGTGTTCAAAGCTTGGGATATAATTTATAACCTAACCCTGCTTTAAACTTCTCCACAACTTTATCCCCGACCTGTCTGGTATGTTCCTTGGTCTTCGTGATGCTGTTTGTTCACTATTGTTCTCTAACAGCCTCCTGAGGGCTTCACAGAACAGCTGTATTTATACTGAGATTAAATTACACACAGGTTGACTCTGTTTATTCAATCAAGGTATAACAATCTGCGCAATCACC